TAAAGCACCTTTTATTTTAATAGCGAAATACGCTAAATAGTACTTAACTTTCTCTCAATATTTCTGAAAGTAATTTTAAAAACGGATTTATTTTTTAATATTAATTTGAAACTTGTAACTGAGTTATAAAACGCAAGGGGAATAATTCTTTTAATTATCAGATTTTTTTAGCTTTAATTTCAACAATACATATTCTAAAACTCTTCTTTATTACTTTCTTAAGTACGCATCTTAATTTGCTTTACAATACCTTTAACAGATTGGTTTCCAGTACGAACAATCAATAAGAGGACCATTCATAATCGGACCTCCTTTGGCAGGATACACAAATCACCTCTGTCGATTTTCAAACACTTAATAAGCTGTCTTGATGATGTGGCACGTTCATGTGGTCACATCATCTTGACCGCACTTGGTACTTCCGCCGAATTCCCAAATGTATCCATCCGTCTTCTGTTCCATACATTTGTGTAAAACTGTACATAATTTTACACAAATGTATGGTTACAAATCAAGGAAAAGTTAACTTATTGGTATATCTGTGTGTATATTTATTAATTTGGAAGAGGATTGCAGCATTTGGTGGTAATTTTATTATTTAATTAACCCAAATAAGAAAACAATATAAACCCGAAGTGATTATTTTTAAGTTATATAAAAATAAAATGATAAGTTTAAAAGGAGCAACTATAAACCCTCTCCTCTAAAAAGTTTTAAAAAGTGCATGTCACAATAATATGTGGATGGAAAAAAAAAATATATTTTATTTAAAACATTTTGGCGTCTGAAACATAAAATAAAAGTAGTGAATACTCTATCAAGAGTATCGAAAGACGTGTACAATTTTAAAGGTACCGTAAGGTAGTTTTCATTCTTTAAGCATAACATTTTCGCTAAAATCTATATTTTTTTAGTTCAAAAGCTTAGAATTTTATAAAACAAATTCATGATCAAAATCGCTGTTGTTAGTTATCAAAAAATAACCAAGATGTGATTTTTACATAAATGTCACTAAGCTACTATACAAATTGCCATCATCCATCACACAATGAATGTTTCTTTTATGAGGAAAGGTCCCGTTTTCCGATTTGTATGGAACTGTCGTGTGTCAAATTACTATCGAAGGGCTGTCAAGGAAGCTTCTGTAAACAAAAAACACCCCATCTGGAGACCGAAGCTTCGTAGCAGTGCTTCACTCTTAGTGCCGAGCTGGCCACTCCTTCCTTTCTTATCTCCATAACACCGACATTATACGTTTACTAACATCTATGTCTTCTCGGGATAAGCTTCCCTAACCACTATACCGTCTGGCCGACATATTAGCGTTTAATCAGTAGAACATCATATTGGATTTTTGGATTATTCAGTAATGGCAAAGCACACGAGGGCTATCTGCCTAAAGGGAGGGATGCCTTTCGTGGAGGACTTTCTAAGGGAAACTGGCTCGTATACACGTTACACATGGGGAAAACCACGAAAACGCCCATGCAGCCAGCCCGTTCACGGGATTCGAACCTCAGACCGAACTACCAGCGTTCAGCGTCTTTACTGCTCGGCCGCTGGTGGGCGAACATCATATTGAAACACTTATTTCTGAAGGCATTAATTTATTTAAGAGTATATTTCACGTTATATTAGAATTCATCTTTGACGTATTAATGAATCAAAACTCTATTTATGTTACGAACTTAATCTTTCATTCACCGTACTAAAGAAAAAAACGGCTACTTATTCTAATTCTCTGTAATATTAACTTTAAAATTTAGAATGAGGAGAATTATAATTTTTTAATAAAATTAGCAAAACTACAAGCAGTTACGAAGAAATTCGTTGAATTAAACTCGTCTATAAAAATTAAACAGATGCTACTAAAATACTGGAAATAACTTGTGATTCTGATCCAGGTATTCTCTTATTCCATTGTCTTTTTACAACCATTGCTATTTCATCTTCTACTGAAGCTGAGGAAACTGGCTGACTGAAGCCAACTGAAAATAAAAAATATCCCATTAGAAACCTGTTCCAATCAAGAATAAAAATAAAAATTTCAATCAATTTGTCTCTTCTGCAGGCAAAAGTGCATCTAAATATCGTTAAGTTTTCCTAATGATTAGCAGTATAGAATTTGAGGAAGCTTTCTTAATGTTGGTTTATTTTATACAAAATTAGATTTCAGTAAATATACCGCACTTTCGATAAATTACGTTGCGCTTCTGTGGGTATTTAATATCAATATATACCTTTCTAATATTAATATATTATAATGAGTATTTAATAAAATAATTTTATTGAAAAGCTCCTCTGGATATTTAATTTCAATTTTTCCGATAAAATCAACATGAATCTGCTGACTTAGAAATACATAAGCGCAAAAATGTATTTGTTAATATTCTTCAAAAAAGAGTTAAATTTCAAAAAATAGCTAGATCTGGAGACTTTAGATTCTGATAATGCAATTTCACGAGTCTCGTAGCTGACCAATTCATGCAATGACAGTATAGAATAAAAAATGAATAGACAAAAAGAAAAAATGTATATTTTGGATCTTAATACACAGTAAGTAAAATGAAAGGTTAAATATAACTATGAAAGTTTAATTTTGAAAAATGTGGCCAGAATGCAAGAAACTTGCTCTAGTTGTCTTAGACTGCAATCATGTTTCCGTAATTCAAATAGTATGCACTTCATGCAATAATAAATACGCTAACTATGGATTGCATGTAGAGACCAGACGAGGTGCGATGAAAAAAAAATATTAAAACAGCAGTTCTTTTGCGGCACCTGCATTCATCGAACTGAATCTGAATACAAGTTTCATAATTGCAAATAAATGAAGCTTGTTTAGAAACGCAAATTCAACAGGATTTTCGAACAACACGGAAGTACTTTATAAGCATGCATACTAGAAATATTTTCACATGTAGAATGGTGATGATAATTATTCCGCGTAATAGCCTATTATTTGAGGCGCTGTTATGAAAAAATGCATTACGTGTGAACGTACGTAGGCTGACCTCACGCATACTTTGTAACATGAGTGCATTATAAAATAACTAACTGCGTCGCGGTTTTCGATACAAATGAATGACCCGCTTTTGCGCCGTGTAGCAGTCAAACGGTTAAAACAGTCTCCAAAACAATATTCCAAATATTTTAACTCTACTCTAATTTTTCCTTCTCTGTTAAGTATTTGTTGTTGTATGAGAAGTCTTCCAAGCTGCAAATCAATGGAAAAGCATCTAAGACTTAAAAATGAGTATTTTAATACTGTACTAGAACAGAGCAGTTCGAGTAATGACAGCATTCGAGAATGTCATCAATGATTTCACGAACAGAAAAGCAAGCAAAATAGCACTTTTAAAATGCTGTCTTATTTCAAAAATTAGTCCAGAGCTTTCATTTATTTTTCTACATGTCATTTTGACCTTTAATTTTTTTGTGTGCAGTTAGAAGAGTGCCAAATGCTCTAGCTATGCCACTGTTTGCTTTCATACCTTAAGTCTCTTTTTAAATTCTCTTTACTACACTCATGTTATTTCTTGAATTTTCTCTGTTCTCATTTGTAAACCTTTAACCAGCTTTTTCTTTTTTTCATTGGTGTGTTGATACTATTATTTTTTGAGGAAGCGCCTATTTTTATTTTATCTACAGTCAATTTTAACTTGCAGCTTCCTTTTCAAATGAGTAGAATCAACAGCATCTCCCTTTCTATACATAAATTTAAAATTCAAGTAAGTGCTAATAGTGTAGTCATTGAAAAGCAAGAAAATGTTTCATAAAACTAAATTACAAAACTTCAAATATCTTTGCTCAATTAGATGTACATAGGGAATTGAGACTATATAAATTCCACAATACAATTGAATTCAAGCTATTTTCCAAAATTCTACCAAATCTCACCAGAGTTTGCCAACGCAGATCAAAAGCTCCACGTCTAATAATTGTTTTCTGCTTAACTATAAAATAGCATTAATTGTTTATTAATACTGCAGCTAATATTAATTGACATCGCTCTTTTGGACGCATAGAATCAATTATACTTTTGGCAAAAGCAGTCTGGAGTTCAAGGCTGGCAGACTTTCCTATTCAGCAAAAATTACAACAGTGAACAAACCATAATTACTTATTAATAAATAAAGATTTCTTTCAATTAAACTGTTTTATTCTGTATAATTGTTTCATAAAGGAAAATTAAATAATGCAACTTATTTTTTTTAATTTTTATTTCTTTACAAAAACTCCTACAAAACATACAAAATACAAAACACATACATATGAATATTTTTTTAATTTACAATGGGAATATTTACACAGTATTATGACTGAGTAATTTACAAATAAAATAATTCATTTTAAATTGTACAATACTTTTAAATATACAGAATAAAAGTGGCTTATAGTTCTTATATCACTTTTCTCTCAAAAGAAGAATATTTATACAATAGCCAGAAGAGAATTGAGTAATTACAGTATTAATTATAATCGAATCCTTTAGAATGAAAGAAAGTGGCACATAAGCATAACACAATGGCTCCAGATGAAAGGAAATGTATGTAACATTGGCCTAACAGACATCACATATTGTTTTGAGACAAGCATATTAAATATTGATGTAAATGGTATAAGATGTTTAAAAAGGTCAAAGAATTAAATATATTTTTAATGTTTTAATTTATGTTTCCACTTTTAAGATAAGCTTTAAGAACCATAACTTTGATTACATAAAAAAATCTGAAAAATTAAAATTTTTTATAATGTCCAACAGAAAGAAAAGTTTAAATATTTTGTCGGACCTACAATCCAGTCATTCAAGAACTTATTTATATAATATTTCAATACATTTCAATTGAAAATGCATTAGGCTTTGAAAGCTGTGTATAATACTCCCTACATGTTCTTTAAAATGATTACTATAGCAAATACAAGTTTATTAAAAATTATTATTATAGTAAACTTGTATTGCAGTTAAATCATTAAATACAGTAAAACTAAAAACAGTAAAACTAAAAACTCGTATAATTAAACAAAATTAATATGATTGAAAGGTTTTAGAAAACACAGTCATCAAAAACTTTAAATATTGACAAAATACAATTTCAGAAAGAATTCTGTATGAAAATTTTGGATTATGATTTAATATTTAAAAGCAATTAAAAGTTCTGAACTATTAATTTTAAAATACTTTAAAATCAATATGCAAAAATATTTGCACAGATTTTATAAAAACCAAGCTATCGAAAGAAATTTTTTTTTTCTTCTTTCAAGTTAAGATGAAACAATAAGATGCACACTTAGTCTTTCAATGGCAATATGTTAAAGCATTATGCAAATACCAACAACACCAGCACATTTCCAAATGACAACTATTTGGTTTACTCAATGCCAGATATTGATACACAGTTTGGAGATAAGGATTTTTTGGATGGCTTACTATTTCCAGAATACTTTAAAAGCTATCTTTTTAAATTTTTATAAAAACCAGGTTTAAAAAATTTAATACGATTTGGCACCGGTGAATTTTAACATTACCAATACATAACTAATGCTGCATCTTCACTAGGTAATTTCCTAATGATGCATTATACACCATCAGTATCAAATACTGTTAAAATTCAAATCAAATTTATTATCACAGATTTCACAGGAGCTATTTGACATCAACTATAAATGGCAAATAAGCTTTACAAGTGCAGATGAAAAAGTACAGTTGAAAAAAAAAAAAAAAAAAAAAAACTATTACTGCTTTACAATCTCAATAAAACAATTTTCCAAAAATGATTCCAAAAAATAACAACTATTTTGGAGCTGAACATTTTAGGTGCTTGCAAAAGTCTTGCGATGCAGTAAGTGAAAAGATACTGCTAAAAATTTGTCATAATACTGATTTTTTCCACTTTTGAACAATGCAGAAATGGAATCTTCATAGCGTGTTGTTCCATTATAATGATGTTGGTACTTTTATAATGACAAAATTGTGGACACTCTTATGCACTGGCCCCTTACAAATACCTGATATTCTCTGCATAATTATCACAGTTTGTGTCTGCAACAGTACTTTTTGGTTCAAACAAGTAACTAAGTAAACTAAATGTTCAAACAAGTGTCTAGAGTAAACTAAATGTTGAAACAAGTGTCATATGTTCAAACAAACATATACGACAGCATAAATCCAAGATTGGTTAGGTTTAATTTTTTACCTATAATAAAATAAGATGAGATTATTGCTAAAGATCCATAGATATCAAGCTTGTCAGTAAGTATATTACTTACAGGCTTATTCTTATTTCACCAGCCTTTTTCTGCTCATCACAACATCGTATGATTTATTCATAGGATGTTGTGACGAGCAGAAGAAGGCTGGTGAAATAAGAATAAGCCTGTCACAGATACAAAACAGACCAAGTATGAAAATTATGATGGAAATACATGTTTGTAAGAGATCAAAGCATAACAATGTTTACCTTAACAGCACCAATATCACTATAAAGCACCACTAAAAAGATATCCCATTTTGGGGTTGTTCAAAAAATTCAAAAGTAACAAAATGAGAATTAACGAGAAATTGTATTTAATACATAAAATTATTTAAAACAGTGAATTGCAAGAAATTTCTAATTCACATGCAGCTCACACAGTGAAGAGTTGTTAAACTATTCATTAAATCAATATATTTAAAAAAATATGATGAACTTTAGCAAGCATCTAATAAAATGTTGTCAGGAACATAACATGCAGTTTTAGCTCTAAGTTTGTCAAATCATTAAGATAAGCATGGAATGTGAAGATGTGGATCAAGAAGATGCAGTAAACCCTGAACTGCCTCCCTTTCCCTAGTAGAAATTAAAGAGAGTCTTTTTTGTACTTCCAAATCATCTTCATGTTTTGCATTCTGCTTCACTTTTTTTGGCATCCTTGAATCATTTTCATTTGTTTCAATCCTCTGACGCTTAAGATTTTGAAGAGCTTGTCGTCTGTTTTCCTTGTATCTGAGAAAAGATTAAAAAATTTCATAAATTTGTTAAATAAGAGAAAGGAATTAAGAATTTCACTAATTTCAACTAAGAATTCCCAAGAATATTTATTATATTTAATGCATGATTTAGAATAGGTAGGCTGAGACATCAGCTCTTAAATGCAGCTCATATTATAAAAAATACTAATTTGTTATTGTGTTAAGACAAATGCATGTCACAATTAATTTGAATTTAATTGGGGGGATATCACCCATATGGACTGACCAGCATTCTCACCAGACTTGAATCCAGTAGAGCACGTGTGGGACATGCTTGACCAACGAGTTGCAGCACGTCAACCTCCTCCTACATGTCTACCGGAACTTCGGAGAGCATTGCCTTTTTGAGTGGTGTAATATCCCCCAAGATAAGATTGATAATTTGATACTCAGCATGCCTAGGCGTTGTACGGACTGTATTGCGTCGTCTGGGAGACATACAATGTATTAACAATCATTGCAACCATGTAATATTGGTTTTTTGTAAAAAAAGTTTTTTTTTTTTTTTTTTTTTTTTTTTTTTTTTTTTTTTTTTTTTAATTTGGTCTAGGGAGAAAAACCTCTATTTTTTTAATAATATCGAACATATAGCATCTCTTTTTGCTCTTTACCTTTTCTTTAATAAATAAGCTTTACAAATAAGTCAAATTTGTTTTGCTTCTAACTCTTCCTTTGCCTGATTTTGCATTATCCTTAATTTATGGACATGAGTGTAGTTACGATAAAATTTTATGGAAGATTACAAACATTTTTGTATTTCTTTTACTTTACACTCATTTTATTTACATGTTATCCCCCCACACACACTTTGGCATTTTTCGTTTCATACTATTTCAGATTTCTAAAAGTAATGCATAAACAATTATCGAAACTTAAAATTAATATTCTACCTGAAATGTGTTTTATTATTTAACAAACTGTATAATTCAGCCTGGAAAGATTTATTTGCAAGATAAAAAATGTTAACACTGTTTTCAAAGTACTAATAGATAATATTTATGATCATCAAAAGTAGGCATTTATGCAAAACAAAATACAAAAAATTTTCTTATTATTGTTACTGGGTTAGAATTACTATCAACAGGCATAGTTTCAGAGAGAAACTTATGTTAAGAAAATATACATAACTTGAAAGCAATTAACAATAATGCAAAAAAACTATCAAATTAAAAACTCACTTATTCAACCACTGCATCTGTTCTTTAGTCAGTTCTGCAGCATTTGGACCCTCTAGTCCTTTGCCATCTCGAATTAAAGGACTTCTTGGATGTCCACGACAGAATCTGCTGGAGTGTTTGTAACGAGTTCCGCATCCTATAAAAGGTAAGTGTGAAACATATATAACAGGTGTAGAAAGCAATGTGCAGCATTCATTATCCAAATTAGCATGGAACTATCAAGTTCAGATAATTGGACAGACAATGCAAAATTTATGTCATTTAAAAGGAAGTCACAAGAATAATATTAAAAATCATGTCTATGATTGATATCATTGGTATTCAAGGTATATATTTTGAGATATCACCATGACATTAACACGCCTGCAGCATCTGTAAAAATATAGAAAACATTTCAATGAACTATGAGCATCTTTGGAACAAAACACTAAGTGAAAGCAGTTAAATGTTAAGGTTTTTGCTGGTTAGCCAACATTAAGCGTGCCTCTTGGATTATTGCCAAATTGTTGTTCCATTTATGATAACCTGAGCAGTTGAATGTTATGAAAACCCTATTATAACATGATTGGTTATATGATTGTGGTGAATTTGACTGATGGGAAAATATTTGTAAGGAATATTGACATTCTGCAGTGGATGCCAGTTAGGAAGTACGCTGCGTATTAATGGCTGCCAGAGGTAAATTGGGTGTTTGGTGGTATAGAACGAAAGAGCAGAAGTTGTTTTAAGTGTTTGAGGACAGAAGAAAAGAAACTTTGTTGGATGTACTTCAATGGAATAATAAGTGTCCTGTTTGTAAGAAGGAAATGCATATGGTCGAACGCATTTCCTTCTTACAAACAGCTTGTACAGATGACTCTGAATGGGTTTGCCACAAGAAAGATTCAAATGCCCATCATATAAAGCATTCCATTAGAAAGGGACTATGGTCTGAGGAAAGTTTTTGGATGCTGTTAAGGAATTTTTAGTGCCACAGACTGAAGACACAGAAATTTCTAAATAAGGTAAGTGAATATTTCCTTTGTATAGTGTGTAGATGCGATAAGATGCATTTCCTTTTATATGCTATTTCACTGTTTGATTTAAAATGCAATTTATCGAAATTATATATTTTTTGTTTGATTCTAGTGTAGAATTGGGTGCTCCTTCTATTTTTAAGGGAAAACAGATCGATGTGTACATAGACAGTCAGTGTGCAATGCTGAGTTTGTGCAATTCTTCAATAGATCGATATGTACAAGGACACCAAGTTTGTGCAATTCTTTGACTTGTTACTTTGGTTTTGCATAGCAGCCATCTTGAAACTGTACCTTGCTGGTCAATCATCAAAGATCGCCAATTTTCTCCCAACACGCACCCTTTAGTATATTTTTACCTTTTTGTTTAATAAAGTAGCAAAACCAATACAGATTTATCATTACATGAGCATTCAATGCAGTGACAAGTGCCAGTCATAGATAAGTATATGAATAGACAAAGATAAATTTCTTAACATGGAGGATTCTCCTTCTTTGGATGTCACTTAAAACAGCACTGGTCCAACTGTCACAGAAGACAGCACTGCTGCCATGCAGAATGTGATACAGAATTAAATGTACCACAACTAATACAACAATATTACTATTGAGCACTAATTGGATCTGGCTATTACATCCTGCGTGATAAGAAGAAGTTCTATTTGATAGTGAAGCTTTTATGCAACATGCCATGGCTGCAGATATAGCCTTCCGAGTTGAATGGAAGTTCTATAATTATAATGAGGTTCAGTCAGAGGTGCATAGATAGCAATACACTGATCAAAAATATTTTTTCCTGCTACATCCATATACTTACAACTGCAGCATTAAGAGCAATGAACTGGACAGAGCCCATGCTGAACTTAAATCTATTAATCAATGCTATTTCATTGTTTGTTATAAATTTTCATAAAAGTTAATACGTTCACGATACAGTACAAAGCCCTTAATCCGGACGTCCATAATCCGGAATGATCTATAATCAGAACCTCAAAGCTACAAACTTTATGTGCATGTGTAAACGCATTATGCAGTTATGCATGCGCATTTAATGCGTGCATCCGCTACTCATGCACGTAAAGAGAAGAGATACTTTTTATAGAAGAGAGATGTTTTAAAGGAATATACTAAATTTATTACATATTAAGTGTTTCCATCGTTAAATTAAGAACTTTTAATGAACAATACTGATTTCGATCAACCAGGTGCCTTCTCAAGATCACATGACTTCTCCTCTGACTGCCTCTACGCCAGCCTAGCACAAGACGAAGAACACCTTTCATTCTTATTTTACATACTCATGAACTCGCATTTTGAACTTTTGCCTCGTGCGACGATGTGCTAGAAGTACACCTTTGATTTCTTTTAAAACCAAGCAAATGTTTAAATGGTTATAATTTTCAGGATACTGGTTAGAACTCTTTGTAGTTAATGCCAGCTGTAAAGATAAGATCGAAGATCCATAGAAGAGAGAATTAAAAACTAAACAACTTACATTAAAAGAAATGTTTAATAAAGTAAACAAATATTAAGCTTTTTTTTTTTATAAATTTTGATACCCTTTAGATCATAATTCCTTTTTATTTCATAAATTACAGTTTCATATTTTTAATTATATAATTTCTGCATGGCATCTTACCAGATTTAAATTGATGATCTATAATCCAGAAAGTCCCGACGAATCTGGATTATGGACTTTGTACTGTATAATACGACATTTTTACCTCATCAAAAAGAATTTATTTCACACAGTATTATATACATATCAAGTGCAGCCATAAGTACATTTGAATTAGATAGTTATTATGCTGAACAATGATACTGCATTTTCCCATTTTTTCCAATATCTTGGAAACGGAAAAATTCTGTTTTACACTGTGCATTAAATGACATTTTTAAAAACCTGGGTCTTAATTATCAGTAAAAAATTATTATCCCCCCCCCCCCAGTTTGCTTGCTGGCTTTCGTTCCAAAGAAATTCTTTTATGTGCAGCTAAAAGAAATTTCCTTTTTGCATGATTGTAATTTCACTTCAGAGTTGTTACTAAACACTCACAGATGTTTAGCTTACAGCATCATATCCCAATAATGTAGCACACATCATGTAAAGTTGGTAACATACCTACATATGTGATATATAATAGAGAAATCTTTCTAGAAATGCATTCTCCCAGAACTAATTTGAAATCAAATTTCTAGCAACAATATTTTATGATGGCGTAAAAGTTCTCACTGTTTCACCAATTCTGTTTTTAATTCTGCTGATCAACTAATACAAGCTTATATATATATATTTTTAACTTTCTTGTACTTACTTTTATGTAAATGTCACCTATTAAGATACAAGTTTATTAAGATACAAGTTTATGAAAATAAAGACTAAAGTAATTATACAAATTTAGCTAATAAATGCATTTAAATATATTTCTTTGTGACAGATCCAAAAATTCATGCTGGTCAGAGGATTAACTATGCAGAATTCTTTGAAAAGTTTCATTTGACAGGATGTTAGCAGAAATTTTCTTTGGTCTCGCAACAGTTTAACTAGAAAACGAGTCAAAGGGCAAATGTATCATGACATATGAAGACTGAGAAAATGAAAACTGAATTATTTTAGTAATACCACTTTTTACTTAAAGGAACTGAACATATCTTTTTCCTCAGTTACACTACAGCCTATCACAGGGCAAAGCCATCTCGACAAGCTTCTCAAACAGATCTGATTAATCACTACAGTCCACCAACGATTGATTTTTAGAGTCCCGAGAATTGCCTCCACACAGTCTATCCATCTTTCCTTGATACCTTCTACATTTCTTTACCTTCTACATTTGCAAAGGTCAACTTTTTAAGAGGGTTCAAGTGGTCACATCTAAAAATATGTTCAAGCCACCTGATACAATAAGATCTGACAATATTAGGTTGTTTGTTTCTTCTATATATTTCATGGTTAAACAAAATTCTCCATCTCTTATTTTCTCTAATTAGGACATATTTTCTGCAGTTCCCCCCCCAAAAAAATTAGAAGACTTCCTTTATCCATTTTTGTTAATGGTCAGCACTCACTATCATACAACATGATAGGGCAACATGAGTTTTATAAAGATTTATTTTTGTCTTGAAGTTTAATTTAGACACTGAAAAATTTGTTAAAACCATGATAACATCTATTAGCTCTAAATAATCTATTGTCAATTTCAAGTTTAATATTATACGCAAACTGAGAAACGGCCTCAAAAGTATAAGACTCTATTTGAAATTCAAAAATCTCCACAACCGCCTGTTTACTTCTGTCAATAATGTTAATGTCAACTGAACATATCACTATGTCTAAAAGCAAATAATCAAGGATATTTAAAAAACTGGCAGCATTCAAAATTAAACTTTAATTACAAGAATCTCAGTTTTACAGTATCAGTGTAATTTAATATTGTTATAAAATGTCCAGCCGCCATAAGACAGCTTCCCCTCAAAGCAGGTTAAAGGATTGCCAGAAAATGAAAGGGAAGGCGGGATTGCCACATTTGGGAAGAAATTGCCAATTTGGTGACAAAATTGGCGATATGCCATACACAGATTTAGACATGGAGAACTTTCTGGAACGATTCTTCCCAGTTTAGCTCAGAATGTTCTCGAACACTAGCCCAAAGCTATATAAACCATGCTGGTATGTGGTGTCTCGTCTAGCGAGTCCTTTGCGAGTCAGAATGCCTACTCAAGTCAAAGAGTCTCATTGTCAGTCAGTGAGCGAGTGTCTCATAATCTAGTGCCGAGCTGGTCGTCGAGTGCATCGAGAGAGCCTTAGTGTATCGCGAGTTAGTGCATTGTCGAGTTTTAAAGTGAGTTGAGCTCCGAGAATTATTGAACCAAGTCGGGAGCTGTACTCTAGTGTATCGTCAAGTGTAGCACAAGTTGTAGAGTTCCGAGAATGAACACGCAGAATCGGGAGCTGTACTCTAGTGTATCGTCAAGTGTAGCACAAGTTGTAGAGTTCCGAGAATGAACACGCAGAATCGGGAGCTGTACTCTGGTGCTTTGCCGTAAAGCTGTCTTCACCGTTATAGCTTGATAGTCAGAAGGCTGGGTCGCCGATTGTTTCAGCGTGTTTATAGTAGTTTTCAACGACTGTAAATGTGATTTTGGAACAGTCTTGAATAATACTGGCTAATAAATTGTATTTTGATACTTCATCAAGTATTGTCACTATTCACTCCAAATCCACAAACCTGTACGTAAAGAAAAACGTAACAATACTAACACAGAACTGGTTATAATTAAATCTTTCTCATTTAAATTTTCTCCAACAACCAAATTGTTTAAAAACTTAATTATGCTAGAGTGTCTTTCCTATAATAATATACATCTTTCGCTCTTATTTTTTTCTGATTTATTTTGATTTATATTTGACCTGAAAATCTGAGTGTTCAAATAATAAAAGCATTATTTCATAACTAAAAGATATCCAGTTTTAAGATTTACTTTAATAATTACACCTGCATTTTATTCCAAATATAACAGTCTGCACTTACCTGGATATGTACAGACAAATGGCATGTCATTAGCATGCGTTCGCAAGTGTGACTTCAGCTGTCCACTTTGAGTAAAAATCTTGTTACACTCCGGATAATCACAGGCATAAGGTTTCTCACCTGCAATAATTTTTTTTTAATAGTAGACATTTAAATTTTCAAATATCAAATTTAAAAACATAAATGAATTTCCATTTTAAATTAACATTAACAATGAGATAGCATTATTACAAAGCTTTTATTTGACCGATCATACCAAAAGATTACGTATTAATAGCACTTTTGTGCTAAACAGATTCAACCAAAATTTACACATGGCTGGCCAAAACTGATCTTCTGTCATCAAATAAGTTGCTAAAAAATTTATAAACAATGTTTGCCGATTTCACCTCACGTAAAGATTTCCAGTTCCGATTTCGGATCCGGTGTTAAAATCACTGTTGCTATAAAATTTCAACAGCTTTTCTTTATTGTTCCGTATATCATGCATAGTCCCTGTGGCAATTCCATACGATTCTGCTATAAACCGAGCAGTAGCACCTGCCTCCATCTTTAGCAGAATTTCCACTTTTTTCATTACTGTCAATGCAACGTGGCTTACGTTTTCCAACATTGCAAGCAGTAAAATCACGAGTGCGTTTCTTATCTGTCATTGTATTAAAAAGGGCTGAAATTTAAAATATACTTAATATATCCACAAAATATCTGGATTGGAAAAACTGTATTTAACCACCAATATGAAAAAATAAGTATGCTATAGTGTGTGTATGATTATGGCAAAGCCTCGAGGGCTATCTGCCTAAGGGAAGGGATGCCTTCATGAAGGACTTTCTAAGGGAAACTGGCTCGTATACACATTGCACATAGGGGAAAAGTATGCTATAGAATTTCAAGTTATAGACCTAGCAAATTCTAGACCAAGTCCAAAATCATGCCTGCAACTAGCTTTGATACAAAAAGATCTGTTTATGCAGGAGAGTTACTGAAGAAATACAAAGACATATTTGAAGGATTAAAGGGAGAATATAAAAATCCAGTTAAGAGGTAACACCTGCAATTCATCCTCCAAGGAAAATGCCCATAGCTATATGAGAAAGTGAAGAAAGAGCTATAAAGAATGGAATATTTAAATTAAATTGAGAAAGTAAGAGAACTAAATGAATGGGTAAATTCAATTACCACTATTCTCAACCTAACAAAATATGTTTAAAAGCTACAGATTTAAAGAAATAAAACAAAAAATTTACGTAAAGTGACACAATCATACGTTAACTATAGATGAAGTTGTTATTAGAATGTCCAAAGCAAAAATATTTTCTGTTTTAGATGCTAATAGTGCTTTGGCAAATAAAGCTTGGTGAAAAAAAGCAATAACTTGTGTATATTCAGTGCATCTTTTAGTAGAGAGAAATTTTAATGATTACCATTCATACATATTTTGATATGAGGATCTAGTGAAAAGGAACATAACCTGGGACAAAGAATATCCCAGACAGCATAAAAAAATAATCTTAAGTTCAATAAGGAATAATGTAAGATAAAAGTTAAAATTATGAAATAAAAAGGATATGAATTAAGTGAAGAAGGGTTAAGGCTTAATCTAGCTAAAGTGGAAGTAGTTGATAAAATGCCACAATCCCAAGATAAGTCTTCTCTAGAAAGAATTTTAATGATTAAATTTTACCCAAATTTATTTCTAAATTAACTGCTACCAGAACACTATACGTATGATACACTTCAATTTCCGTCCATGGACCCACTCTACCAAATAAGATAGAGCGATATGTTACCATCGCCTAACCATATCATATTTGACACACTGAAATGAAACATTTTATTTAACATTTCAGATGAGCATGAATACTAACAGAATACCATGAAATTTAATTAAATGGAATGTGTTGATTACTAATCACACTGTTATAAGTATTATTTACTATTTTATTCTATGAATATAAAACAAGTACGCTTACAGTGCCCACTGCAAGTTTGAAAATGTGAAACATTTCCAAGTAGTACACTATAGTACAGGTGGCTTAAAATTTTATATTTTTGGAACTTTGAATGGTAACTGAACAAGAAATTAAGTCTATCTATGAAATTAAATAAGAAGTATTAAAAAAAATTAAACAGCTTAAAAAACTTGCACTGAAAGAAATGTTCTCTACTGTAGAATTGGGTGCTCCTTCAATTAGAGAATTTTTTTTTTTTTAATTTTGGCAATGAAACCTCATTTCTGGTTACTATGGTAGTTTTAACTCTGTTTTAGCTTCCTGATTTTTTTAAAATGAAAATAGATGTGTACATGGATAAATTTAAGACAGTGCGCAATGCCTAGTTGTGCAATTCTGGCATGTTTTTTTAACCCTTAGCCTGTCGAGTGATTTTCTGCGGATTCCTTTAAAACTGTCGCTAGTTTTAGACCGAACTTCCCGTAAAACGTTGCGAAGATAACCCTAAACCTCTGAAAATTGTCAAGCAGTTCTTTTGTTATTTCCCATCCCTCCCAGAATTTTACTTCAATGATTCCGCTAAGTGAGATTGATTACACTAGATATTGTTCGGTAGATGTGAACTCTCAAGAGAATTGCAAAAGGCTAGACTCTCCGTGATGACTGTCTTAAGGGTCAGGGTACAGCTGCGAAACTTAAAGTTTCCTTCCCTTAAACAATCTTATCTCTACATATCTTCTCTACATATATAAAGAAAGAGTCTGTCTGTGTGTGTGCCTTTCGTTCGCGCTGCGCGTAAGCTAATAGACCCACGGCTATGAAATTTGGTACATAGGTACATCTACACAAGAGCCAGTGCACTTCGAAACGATTTTTTCGAAATTCGAATTCGAATTTTTTTTATTTCATGTTTTGTGACGACGAATCGTGTCATTTTGAAACATAATGGGCTATAGGAAAGCGAGATTTTACTCTACACACTCCATTTTTACATCGTCATGAAACGTAGGCACTTAGCTATTTTACGAACTTTAAAATAAATTTCGTGTTTCAATAAATCGATTAATAAACACAAATTTATTTAACAAAGGGAGCTTAACACTTTTTCAATGGGATTTTTTCTAAAAAAGTTTATTTTTAAAAATGTACAGTTTATTTTTCTTTGATTTTTGGACACGTTAAACTTTCATCCTTGCGACTGCTTTTACAAAAAAGAATTTTGGAAAAATGATAATATTTTGTATTTTTAAAAAAGATTTTTAAATGAAGCTTCCGAGTACACTTCTCACATCTCACATCTTTAAAAATGTGATTTTGGCAACAATTTTCCTGTCTTATTGTTGTTGATAGATTTTTGATGAAATCGCATCATTTTGAATAGTTTCATTCTTTTAGAAATATGGGTTTGGCAACAATTTTTCATCGTATTTCTTATGTCACTGTTTTTAAGAGATTGGCATATTTCATTGTCATTTTTATATAAATATAATATATTTTTATTGATTTTTTTTTGATAAAGTTGTTCTGTGGAGTAAAATTCTGCACGGAATTTTATGTTTTTTGAGTTGCTTTCACGTGTTATTTTTGCTTATTTCCTGTTTATAAGATATTGAAAAGTTTTGCATGATTTTTAGTTCTATGGAAAGTTGGTTAATTTTTTAATTAGGATAATTAATATTTGTATTAAGGAGATATAGCTTATTTCATTGTAATTTTTCCCTTGAAAATATAAGAAAATATCATTAATTATACTTTGCTTTTCAGAATTTTTTGTTTTTGCATTCCTTTATTTTATTTATTGCTCATTTCACTGTTTTTAAGATATTGAAAAGTTTTGACTGATTTTTTTTAGGAAATAAAGTTCTTAACCTCCTTTATACCATTTGAGTTCTTAAGATTTTTGCAAAAAAAAGGAATTTGGTTAATTTATTTATTAGGATAATTAATATTTGTATTAAGGGATATTGCTTATTTCATTGTAATTTTGTTATACGTAATAACTTTTTTATGAAGTTGTTCTGCAGTAGTGCCTACGCAGTTTTTAAATTTAACGTTTGGAGTTCCCTTCAGCCATTTTTCCGGTACATTTAAAAGCCAGACGAAGGCTCGCAGCGAAGCTGCTAGTTTTCAAATAAATTGGTTTTAAAATTTACCCGGTTATATTTTAAATTATTACGCATTTTTAACAACCTAAGTAACCTAAATCTGTATGTCACTGATTATCACCGGAATTTCAATGCAACCTGATTAAACTGCTATCACTAAAATTATATTCTGACAAATATCTGGTGCAACTTTCATTCCTTCTGAGATATTGCTGAAACATTTCGTATTATTTCCGATTTTCTGTATTTTTGTCATTAATTAAAAATCTTTAAAACCTTGAGCATTTTCCTATATTCTTCAACTGCATGCAACTAATAATTATTTTAAATAATTTCATTTTCCTTAATTATTACGTAGTTTTAAGAGAGTAATAAGCAAAACATTTTGGTGTTTTTTAAGGGTGATAATATTAATATTAAATTTGCATTTTTACTTTTTTCATATACATTCAAGATATCAGAAAGGAATTATAACTTGAAAACTGTTTTCAGTGTATCATAAATTTATTGATTCAAATTAAAAATTCTTGCTTTCCTGTCCAAGAAACACTAGTAAATTTTATCTGAAATAGGAAAGATGAGACATATTAATAACAAACAAAGCAATTAATTTGGAAGTCAAAGAACAAAAATCAGCGTTATATTTTCAAATTTTCACAGGACTAAATTCGATGGTTTTTACCGAACCATCATCTTCAGCTGCAAAAGCGCAAATGAACGAGAGATAGATAAGATATAATGAAAATTAGATTGTGAAAATTTGAAAATATAACGCTGATTTTTGTTGTTTGACTTCCAATTTAATGTTTGTTCGGCTTGTTATTGTATCTTAATTAAACAAAGCAATGTTGTTACTTATTAGCTTACAATATAATTTATTTCCATATGGTATTTTTGTAAAGAAAGAGTGTTGCTGTACATTTGGTAAAGTAAAAATAAGCATTTCATTTAATAATTTTAAAAGTTATTAATTATTTAATAATTAATCATAAGAATATGAATAATTAAATATTTTTTCGGAGATATATTTTCTGGCGATATTTTTTTCTAAGGATCCCAGCAT